AGGGAGAGAGAGAGAAAGAGAGAGAATCCCAAGCAGGGTCCATTCCCAGTGTGGAGCTCTATATGGGGCTCAATCTCATGACTGAGATCATGACCTGAGCCAAATCAAGAGTCTGATTCTTAACCAACTGAGCCACACAGGCACCCCCATGTTTCCTCTGCATTGAATGTCCTTCTCCATGTCATCCTAATTTGGTTGACTCCTATCCAACCTTCAAAGCCTACTCATGATGCCATCGTGACCCTGACATATTTGTCTCTCTTCATTCCACCTCTTACAAACCAATTCCCCAACCCTATCCCACTCCAGCCTCCCATGTGCACTTGGATTTCTTGCCTCCTCTAAATGATCCTGTAGTCTCTCTTTTGCTTACCTTCATCACAATGCTTCATATGATAAAATACAGTATGTTGATAAAATACAATAATCATTCCTTTTGTTTTCCCCACTAAATGGCCTTTTGGAAAATGCTAGTCCTAGTGCCCGGCACTTAGCAGTCACTTAAAAAATGATCATTAGATGAACAAAGAAATGAATGAGAGAATGAATGGATGAATACGAAGCTCTCTTGGAGCCTTTCCATTATCTCTGCAGATTGCAGGCAACCCATGGGAAGAGCACAGTGCATGGTAACCAATGTGAAAGGTAAGACATGAGAACCCATATACGGTGATCTCAAAGCTCTGTTTCATGAATCCAAGAAACTCTGCTATCTGTAATTCCACTGTACCTCTTGTCTATGTGTCTTAATTTTGAATTTATGCTATCATTTAGAAGTCAGGAATTATTTGAATTTTGTTAAAAAAAACTTTTGGGAGCCTCTGAAGAGATGATTCTATAATCACTTCCTTATCTATTACATTTTTGGTCAACATGGTTTGAGAAACTTGGTTCTCTTAGTTAAAATGTCCAAACACATAAAAATGCTCGGTCAAATCTTTTTACTTCTTTCCTTTTGTTCTTTTGTTGTGTGTGTGATTTTTTCTAAAGTGTGGCAATTTTCACCCAATTACATCTTCTCTTGTTTATGCGCCATATTCTGAAACTAGTTAAAGGTGTTAAGGTATGGGTAAAGTGCACATCAGTTAAATGAGCACAGGATAGACTGGATGGGAGAATTTCACATCCTGGGCAGGTAAGGGATGGTGTGTGGGGTGAGGGGAAGGCATAACTGGGAAAAAGGAAAAGTGCAAAGGTTGTAGAACAATCAGGATTGAGCAAAGTGGATCAATTTAGACTTTGGCAGAAGCCCTAACAGTCAAAGGTCAAAGATGAAGAACCTACTAATATGTGTGTCAATGGGGGACTTACATTCAGTTATGAACAATTTCAGCAATAATGAATAATTCACTTCAGTTTAACTTTATACATAGGCAAAGAGTAGCATATGCATTCTCCAGATACGACCACGTTGAAAAGAACAAGCCTTGCTTTGGCACACCTCTCTCTCTCATGACACTCCCAGGGCATTTGCTCTGACCCTTCTCATGGCGCTCACAGTCATGCTACACCCATCAGATCGACCGTCCCCAGGGACACCTCTCTTTCCAGAGGTCCTTAGTCCTGTTCTTCACCTGCATCATCCACTCCTACCTTTTCACACTAAAATTGCTACAGAGAAGCAATCAGAGTATTTATTCAGAGTATGTTTTTCCACATAAATTTCAGGTTTGTTGAATCTGATAATATCAATGTGTAAAACATTTTCTTTTTTCTTTTTCTTAAATAGAATTTATTTTTTTTTTGATGTTTATTTATTTTGAGAGACAGAGTACAAACAGTGGAGAAGCTGAGAGAGACAGAAAGAGAGAATCTCAATCAGGCTCCCAGCTGTCAGCGCAGAGCCAGCTGTCGAGCTCAATCCCACAAACTATGAGATCATGACCTGAGCCGAAATCAAGAGTTGGACGCCTACCCTACTGAGTCACCCGGGCACCCCTAAAACATTTTCATAGAAGAGAGGATATTGAACGCAGTTGGGCCATTGCACAACTTTAAGTCACACCATATAGTTAAACACCACACAACGATTTCTGAAAACATGGAATTTTCTTGACAGGAGAAGGAGAATTCTTATTTATCTATTGGAATTGAAACACAGAATTTAGAATTAAAAACCAACCTCAAGTTTTCTGGATTAGATACCTGTGTATTACATTCATATACATGTTTATAAAATAGTACTTTTAATTAATTTATAAGTAATTCTTAATGATTTATAATATCAATTATTTTTTTTCCATTTTAGGATTAACTCTAAAATTTGAAACCATCTTATACTTGAAACAATATATAAAAAATTGTTTTTCTCTGCATTCTGATAGAAGAGAATCTCTCTAGCCTTGTTCTATAATATATTTTAGGTCCTCAAAGGATATTTTTTTCCCTTTAAGCCTCCAGCATTAGATAACACCTACATCTCTCCAAATAAAATAGCCATTGTGTACTTGAACACATTTGAGTAGGTTTTAATTCATTCACATTTCTCAGCCAGGAATTTCTGGGCTGTGGCTAACTTCAAATATTATACATTTTTTAGACCCTAAGTCTAAAGGGTCTTCTTGAAAAGCTTGGTCGTAATATACTCCAGAAAGCAGAAACTATATGGTAAGATTGGGGGACTGTTATTTTAAACTTTGTCCTGTAAATATGACCAGATTCTTAGCAGCCTGTGGTGACTCGTCCAGCTGTGATGTTTTACAAGGAAGCAACTAATATTTCTAGACGCCTGGCAATGGGAATGCAGAGAGCCTGCTGCATTGAAAAGGTACTAATTGGTCTCCATGAAACCTGGGCCGATAAATTCTTCCTATGGGTTATCATTCCTCTTTAGTAGTGAGGAGTATTTTTGAGGAATGTCCACTCTGAACGGGGCAGAGACAATATATAAAATGCTAAAACATTAAGCCTGGTTGAGTAAAGCAGATTGTGCTGGTGTTCTAAACTCTCTTTTCCCAATTCCTCAATTTACCATTCAGTATTCAATTTAGTATTTCACAATATCTCAATGCACTATTCCATATTTATTTCTACATGGGAAACAAAGCCAGAGGCAACTGCTGAAGGATATATAGATATTTTTAATGGGCAAGGCTACCTTGCTGAGTGAAATTTCTGTTAGGTACGGTAAACGGATGGAACTGGCATTTCAAACCAGGTTTAGAACTTTTTGGCAAAGAAGGAATAAATAGCGGTTCAATATCTGCTGAAAATTCATGTAATTTTTCCCTACTCACTTGTACATCATATGTGCTTTTGTGAAAATCATGAAGCTAACTAACCTAAGCATTGCTTTAAATAGTAACGTTATACTTTCTCTATTAGGAATTCGCCAGATTTACAGTCAGTCTCACTATAGTATGCATAGGGTGCTAATGCCCCAATCACCAGCAGAAACTGATACCACATTTAAACACATTTTGATGAAATAGAAAATAATGGTGAAATGAATCAGCTGGAATCAATTATCTAAGTAAGGAGTTTATGTTGCTATTAATTTTTAATACATATATTGTTGCACCTTATTTTAAAATTTCAAATTCCACTTTATAATCACTTAAACAATTTAATCAAGCTTTACACCCATTCTCAAGTTTTAAACATGAGATAGAAAGAAAACAAATCTTCCTTACATGACAAGTGATGTAAAGCCTAGGCAGACAATACGGAAATTTTGAGACACTTAAAGTACTCCTGTTAAAGAAAAGACAAAAGCACTTACGTAAAGAAAAAGATGTTTGTTATGACAAACATTAACAGTGTTCTGGAACTCTTTGCCATTACCGTAACAATTTACTTTTGAATACTGACTGCAATATTTACTTGTACAGGGAAAAGACTTCACAGCTAGCTTATAAATATGGCTGTATATATTAAAGTTTCTAAGCTAATTATCAAGCAATAGCATATCAGAATGTGAAACTAAAAAAAAACACTGTCTTAGAAAAAAATTAAGCATATTTGAATAAACCTTTAAAAAATGACTGAAGAATATAATTAAAGAGAGAGATATGTGTCTTTATTGTCTAGATTGAAAAACCATCAACGACAGATATTTAGTGTTATTTGCTATATTTCTCAATGCTTAGACGCTGACAGTAAGCATTCAATCAAAACTTGCAGAGTCAGTGAAATGTTTTGGAGATTTATGAATGATAGGCAACCATTTGTTTTAAAAATGCCAATCAAAAAAAATCAAATATCATATAGTTTCCTATCATGAATTAGATACCAAATTCTGTCCAAAGAAACTTTTTAATCTACTGAGTAGTACTAGAGTTAAAAATATAATTATACGTCTAGAAATGGCCTTACTAATACCAAAAAAAAAAAAACCTTCTACCTTCATATTCACTATTCCTAAAGGCTGCTCTTCTAGAATATATCTCAGATACAACCACAGGAAAACATCCATTAGAATGAATTAGATATTAAAAACATTACATATTTAATTTTTTCAATTTATATATTTTCATTCTAATGGTACAAGTAATGCTTATTTGTCTATAAGACTTTTAAGGTTGTGGAATATTAGTTGGAAGTGATAAATGAATTTTTCTTTAGAAACAGTTAACATCTATATCTGAGGTAAATCCAATCATTACATGATTTGAAGGCTTCTATTGTCTAATTTCTGTTCTGGTTCTATATATGTTCATATGCTTCTTAATACTTTCACAGAAAGTATTTGGGTGAAAATTCTAAGCAAAAAAAGTAAATTATGTTTTATGATAATTACAAGGGAAGTGCTTACATTATAGTTTTCAAAACATTAAAAGATGTTTTGAATTTTTATATTAAATAAAATTATGATGAATAATCACATCATTTAAATAAGCTACTTATATTTTTTTGAACCTTAACAATGTCAAGAGCCACTCACATGCTAAGTTACAGAGCAGTAATTAAATCACATCTTCTAGACCAAATTCCTATTACCACTGTGAAAAGCATAATAGCAAATGTTTTGTAATACAGAAAAATCTTTTTTTCACTCTTACCTTCTGCAACACAAACAGTCCACCACATAAGCCAAACAATCTGTGCTAGAAATCTCATTTTCAAGATCCTTAGGGACACATTAATCAGTTGTCACTGCTCACACTATGCCAGCTTCTCTTCTGCTAAACGTTGTGATTAGAGCAGGAAAGCAGTTGCTCTAAAAGGAAGTTGAAACCCAGTTTGGAAATTAAAGGGATTACTAGAAGCTCCGCCCATCAGAAACTTCTGCGAAGTAAAAGAAGAAAAAGTCAGTCAAAAGCCCCAGCAGTGCAGAGTTGGAATCGGATTCTCACTGCGTTCCCGCTGAATGTTAATACCGTGACCTGCTTTGATTTGTTTCTATAAACCCAGGCATGCTCTCTCCTGCTACACGTTCAGGTTCTTGGAAGGTGCAAGACGGTAACCGGTGATATACTTTGGATTTCATTAACTCTCTGATTACGGAAACCCGTTCAGGTCTATTGTGTGTAAACCTCAAATGATAAAATAATAGAAGCTCCTTTAAAAATCATTTACAGGGGAGATTGGGTGGCTCAGTCAGTTAAGCTTCCAACTTTAGATCAGGTCATGATCTCTCAGCTCATTGGTGCAAGCCCAGAGTTAGGCTCTGTGCTGACAGCTCAGAGCCTGGAGTCTGCTTCAGTTAATCTCCCTCTTTCTCTGCCCATCCCCCACTTACACATGTCTGTCTGTCTGTCTCTCAATATGAATAAACATTAAAAAAATTTAAAAGAAATCATTTACAGAACTAGATGTTGGGCAATACTTTCACAATCAAGACCCAGACAACATGAGTGAACTTTGTCAAGAATGGCTGATATTTGGGGCCTGCCTTTCCCGCAATCCACGCACTCACTCTCTTAAGGACGTGACATATACGTGTGTGAAACAACAGGATCACCCTCATTGGACATAAATGAGTTTAACCGTTCAAAACGAAGTCACTGGAATGCTGAATTTTTAGAACTTCGTGTTTCAATATAAGCATAAAGAACACAAGCAAAGGGTTTGCTGAATCTCGAGAAGGCGCAGGGCCTACACACCAGCACCGAGCTCAGGAAAGCACAGCACGAGGTCTCAGGGAAGCCCCAGCTGTCCCTTCCTCAGTCGCTCTCGCCCTCCCCTCACCTCACACAGAGGGTGACTGCTGTCCGGATCTCTGAGAACATGGAGTCCGTTTGCCTGTTTTGTACTTTACATAAACTGAAAGATCGGATGCTGATTCCTTAGTCTTTACAGACTTTGGTTAAAAACTATGTTTGTCATTCAACCACACGGCTGGGTTTCATTGTGGAGTATTAATTCTTCTGGCTGTGTAAGGTCAACTCTTTGACTCTATCTCATTTTATTTGTGTGCCTGTCAGTGGGCATCTGAGTAGATCCTAGTTAGAAGCTAATAGAAAGAGGGCTACTATGTGCTGATTATGAGGTTTTGGTAAAGACACGTGGTCATTTCTGATGAGCACATGAGAGTGAAATGGTAGGACATTTGCACGAATATGTGTAGGTGTTAACAGGTAACATCAGAGTTTTCCTAAAGGATTCTGCTAATTGGTGTGCCATCCGCAGTGTATACATTGCTCCAAATCTTCAACACACTTGATGTTTCCAGTCTATGTAATTTTAGCCATTTTGGTGAAGACAAAGCAGTAATTCTTTGTGGTTTTAATATGCCTTTTCCTGATGACAAATGAAACTGAGAACTCTCATGTACCAATTGGTCATTTATATTTCCTCTTGGGTGAACTGTCTATTCAAGTCTTTTCTACCAAATTAGCTTTTTACTTACCTCTTTGTAGGAATTCTTTTTATACTCTATGTATATTCTTGGACACTTGTTTTATAAATATTATCTCATGCCATAGGTTGTCTTTTTGCTTAGTGTTACATGTTTTTAATAAGCAGAATTTCTTCATTTTAAGTTGAACAATTAGATGTTTGGTTTACATAAAATTATGCTTGAGTATAATTTTTTCAAATGTATTCTTGAAGCCTGCTTTGGAAGCTGGTAGTCTGCTTTGGGAGGTGGACACTTTTTCAGAGGGTCTGAACCACAAATTTAGGCTGAATTCACTGGCATGTTTAAGCAGAAAAGAATGCTGGGTCTCTAAGTCCCCTTGCATGTCTCTGGCTCAGGAGAGATAGTCCTTTTAAATGTATAGGATATAATTGTAATGGACAAAAAGAAAATGTTTGGAGCTTAAAAAGAAAAAAAAATTTCTTGGGGCACCCGTGGCTCAGTTGGTTAAGTATCCAACTCTTGATTTTGCCTCACGTCATGATGTTACACAGTTCCTGAGTTCAAGCCCCATGTCAGGCTCTGCACTGTCAGTGCAGGGCCTACTTGGGATTCTCTCTCTCCCTCTTTCTGCCCTTTCGCACCCTCCCCCCAACCCTATGTGCCTATGCATGTATACTCACTCAGTTCCTCAAAATAAATTAAACTTAAAAAAAAAAGAAATTTTCTTAATTTTAACATTGAATTACATTTTCGATTTTTTCTATTTGGATTAGTGCATTTCGTGTCCTATTTAAGAATTCCTTGCCTACTCCTAGGATACAATGATGCTTTCCTCTAAAAGCATTGTGTTCTCTTTCCCATTTAACTGCGTTTGGCTTCTGTGTATGTTATACTAAAGAGCAACAGATACATTTTTGAATAATAGCTATCCAACTGTTCTGGCACTCTTTACTGAAAATATCATCTCTTTTCTACTACACTGCTTCATTCTGACTTTTGTCATATATCAGGCAACAGGAAAGGTGTGAGTCCATTTCCTAAAGTCCTCACTAAGTTCAGTGAGTTCACCAAGCTCTTCACACTGCAAAAGCTAGGCGTCCTGCTTTAATTTTTAAAAAGAATTTCTTCTGAAGTGTCAATTTCTGGTAACTTGGGGCTTTTCTAGTTATCTTTTAAAATGAATTCTTTTTTAATTTTGTTTGGTCTGGAGATGTACTCTCAATAATTCCATTCTTTTAAAATTTCACAAGATTAATATCTAAAATATATAAAGAACTCAACACCCAAGTGACACAAAATCCAGTTAAGAAATGAGCAGAAGACATGAATAGACCTTCTTCCAGAGAACGCATCCAGATGGCTATTGGACACATGATAAGATGCTCAACATCTCTCACCATCAGGGAAATACAAATCAAAACTACAATAACATCACCTCACACCTGTCATAATGGCTAAAATTAACAACATAGAAAACAGCAGGTATTGGTGAAGATGTGGAGAAAGGGAAACCCTCCGACACTTTTGATAGGAATGCAAACTGGTGCAGCCACTCTGGGAAACAGTAGAGAAGTTTCTCAAAAAGTTAAAAATAGAATGACCCTACCATCTAGCAACTGCACTACTAGGTATTTACCCAAAGGATACAAAAATAGTAATTCAAAGGAATACATGCACCCCAATGTTTATAGTATCAACAATAGCCAAATTAGAGAAACAGCCCAAATGTCCACTGACTGATAAATGGATAAAGAGGAGATGATATATATATGTTATACATATATACATGTATATACACACATATCATGGATTACATACATGTATATATGGTCGACATATACATGTAATGGAATACATATACATGTATGATATACATATACATTTTCACACACACACATACACATACACGCAAACACATACACCATTTTTCCCAGCCATGAAAAAGAATGAAATCTTGCCATTTGCACTGACGTGCACAGAGCTAGAGAGTATAATTGCTAAGTGACATATGTTAGTCAGAGAAAGATAAATGTTATATGATTTCACTCATATGTGGAACTTAAGAAACAAAACAAACCAAGAGGGGAAAAAGAAGAAAAAAAACCCAGACTCTTAACTACAGAGAAAAAACTGTTGGTTACCAGAGGGCAGGTGGGGAGGGGGATAGGTTAACTGAGGACTATCCCCCTGAGATCAGGAACATGACAGGGATGTCCACTCTCACCATTACTGTTTAACATAGTGTTGGAAGACCTAGCATCAGCAATCAGACAAAATGAAATAAAAGGCATCCAAACTGCCAAAGAAGAAGTCAAACTTTCACTCCTTGCAGATGACATGTCACTCTACATGGAAAACCCAAAAGACTCCACTAAAAAGCTGCTAGAACTTATACATGAATTCAGCAGTTGCAGAATACAAAATCAATGTACAGAAATCAGTTGCATTTCTATACATCAATAATGAAGCAACAGAAAGAGAAATAAAAAAATGTGAGACAGGAAACCATCAAATCCCTAGAGGAGAAAGCAGGCAACCTCTTTGACCTCAGCCACAGCAATTTCTTACTCAACCTGTCTCCAAAGGCAATGGAATTAAAGCAAAAATGAACTACTGGGACCTCATCAAGATAAAAAGTTTCTGCACTGCAGAAACAATCAACAAAACTAAAAGGCAACCGACAGAATGGGAGAAGAGATTTGTAAATGACATATTGGATAAAGGATTAGTATCCAAAATCTATAAAGAACATATCAAACTCAACACCCCAAAAACAAATAATCCAGTGAAGAAATGGGCAGAATACATGAACAGACACTTTTCCAAAGAAGACATCCAGATGGCCAACAGACACATGAAACGATGCTCAGCGTCCCTCATCATCAGGAAATACAAATAAAAATCACACTGAGATACCACCTCACACCGGTCAGACTAGCTAAAATTAACAACTCAGGAAACAACAGATATTAGCAAGGATGTAGAGAAACGGGAACTCTCTAGCACTGTTGATGAGAATGCAAACTAGTGCAGCCCCTCTGGAAAACGGTGTGGAGGTCCCTCAAAAAATTAACAATAGATCAACCCTATGACCCAGCAATAGCACTGCTAGGAATTTATCCAAAGGACACAGGAGTGTTGATTCATAGGGGCACATGTACCCCAATGTTTAGAGCAGTGATTTCAACAATAGCCAAATCATGGAAACAGCCTAAATTTCCATTGATTGATGAATGGATAAAGAAGGTGTGGTTTATATATACAATGGAATACTACTTGGCAATGAGAAACAATGAAAACATGCCATTTGCAGCAATGTGGATGGAACTGGAATGTATTATGCTGAGGGAATTAAGTCAGAGAATGACAGATATATGTTTCACTCATATAAAGAACTTGAGAAACTTAACAGAAGACTATTGGGGAAGAGAAGAGGATATATAAGTGATGAGCCACAGGAAACTACTCCCAAAACCAAGAGCACCCTATACACACTGTATGTTAGCCAATTTGACAAAAAATTTTATATATATATATATATATATATATAAAAGATACTGTTTGTGATGAAGACACACTGGAGGCAGTCACAATGTCTACTCAGAAAGGACCTCTTCCATCACCACACAGCAGGTAAGAAGATTCAGCATCTCTGAGCTTGCTGACATGAAAAATGTCCCCAAGATCTTAACTGAAAAAACAGTTCAGAAAAATTATAATTCCAGTTGGTTGTATTTTTAAACATACACACCAAAATCAGACATTTTTATATGTACACATATACATGGATTCAAGAAGACTGGGAAGGATGTATGCATCAAATGATATCGTTACCTCTAAGAGAAAAGGTTTGTGAGGTGAGGGGGCTTTTGATTTTTCAGAACTGTTCATATGAATACTTCTTTATGTTTAAAAAGCAGCCATGTGATGATGGCTGAACAACTCTAAAATTACACTACAAATCACAGAATTGTATTTTGGAATTGGGGAATTTTATAGTACATAAACTATATCTCAATAAAGCTGAAAATAACTTAGGGGCAACCCAGTAAGTAGCTAAGTTGATTAAGCTTCTGACTCTTGGTTTCCGCTCAGGTCATGATCCAGAGGCAATGGGATCGAGCCCCATGCTGGGTTCTGTGCTGAAAGCATGGAGCCTTCTTAGGATTCTCTCTCTCTTTCTCTCTCTCTCTCTCTCTTTCTGCCCCTCACCCATGCATATTCTCTCTCTCTCAAAAATAAATAATAAAAAAAAGAATTAAAAGAGAGGATAATGAGGTGGATGATATAATGAAAGACAAAGAAAGACCACGAAAATGTCACAGAGAAGAGACTAAGAAGATAATAACTAAACACAAAGCGGTATCCTAGACTGGATTCTTGCATGGAAAGACATTTCATGAAAAATATGTAATATAAATAAAGCTACAATTGCAGTAATAGGACTGTGCCAATGTGAATTCCTTAGCTTTGATACCTGAACCCTGGCGATAAAAAACATTAGCATTACACAAAGCTAGGTAAGAACTCTATATTATCTTTGCATCTCTTTTGTAATTGTAAAATTGCTAAACTAAAAAAAAAAAAAAAAAAAAAGCAGCAGCAGGAAATATACTTGGCCCAAATACACAGACACCTCCCAAAGGCTCACTGCCATGCCCACAGGGACCCACCCCAGAAAACCCTGTTTTTTTTTCCTTTTGAGCTTTAGAAGCTTGTTATTTCCCAAATGCCTCCCCAGTTTTCCCGAAGATTTCCCCCCAAAGGCACAGCGGCTGGCAGAGTACCTATTCCCCAGCAAGGCAATGGCACAGAGGTCACCCTTCTGTACCTGAGGCAGACCAGCAGGGGGCACCACGAGCCCTGGCAGCATCAAATATGCAGCAAGCAAAACAAAGGCATCACAACCTATATTTTGCCTCTGATTCCAAGTTCTACCTCGTCATTTATTCATTTGCTCAACTACAAACCTTTATCGAGTATCAGCTAGATCATTCATAATGAAAATTAAAAGACTGCAATTGACTATCAGACCATTTGTCTGGGAGGGTGCTAGTGGTCAAACCAAAGCACTGAGTCCAGTTCCATGATCTATCTTCTGGTTTCCTAAATTTAGCTTATTGATTTAAAGTATAGCCTATGGACAAAAACAGACACATAGACCAATGGAACAGAATTGAGAACTCAGAAGTGGACCCAAAAGTATACAGCCAACTGATCTTTGGCAGGAAAGAATATCCAATGGAAAAAAGACAGCCTTTTTAACAGATGGTGTTGGGAAAACTGGACAGCAACATGCAGAAGAATGAAACTAGATCAATTTCTCACACCATGCACAAAAATAAACTCAAAATGGATAAAGGACCTGAACGTGAGACAGGAAACTATCAACACCCTAGAGAAGAAAGCAGGAAACAACCTCCTTGACCTCCACCTCAGCAACTTCTTATGACACATCCCCAAAAGCAAGGGAATCAAGAGCAAAAATAAACGATTGGGACCTCATCAAGATTAAAAGCTTCTGCACAGCCAAGGAAACAACCCAGAAAATTAATAGGCAACCAACGGAATGGGAAAAGATAGTTGCAAATGACATATCAGATAAAGGGTTAATATCAAGAATCTATAAGGAACTCACCAAACTACACGCCCAAAAAACAAACAACCCAGTGAAGAAATGGGCAGAAGATATGAACAGACACTTCTCCAAAGAGGACATCCAGATGGCCAACAGACACATGAAACGATGCTCAGCATCCCTCCTCATCAGGGAAATACAAATCAAAACCACACTGAGATACCACCTCATGCCAGTCAGAGTGGCTAAAATGAGCACATCAGAGAACTCTAGATGCTGGCGAGGATGTGGAGAAACGGGCACCCTCCTACACTGTTGGTGGGAATGTAAACTGGTACAGGCCCTCTGGAAAACAGTGTGGAGGTTCCTCAGGAAACTAACACTAGAACTCCCCTAGGACCCAGCAATAGCACTGCTAGGAATTTACCCAAGGGATACAGAAATGCTGATGCATAGGAGCACACGTACCCCAATGTTCATAGCAGCACTCTCCACAATAGCTAAAACATGGAAAGAGCCTAAGTGTCCATCAACAGATGAATGGATCAAGAAGATGCGGTTTATCTACACCATGGAATACTACATGGCAATGAGAAACAATGAAATCTGGCCACGTGTAGCAACATGGATGGACCTTGAGGGTGTTATGCTGAGCGAAATAAGTCAGGCAGAGAAGGACAAATATCATATGTTTGCATGTATAAGAGGATTAGGAGGAACTTGATGGAGGAACAAGGGGGAGAAGAAGGGCGGAAATGGTGGGGGAAAGGGAGAGAGGCAAACCATGAGAGACTCTTGAATGCTGACAAAAACTGAGGACTGATGGATGTGGGGGGGAGGAGGGATGGGCATGGAGGAGGACACTTGTGGGGATGAGCACTGAGTGTTATGTGGAAACTAATTTGACAATAAACTATTTGTAAAAAAATAAATAAATAAATAAAGTATAGCCTATGGAAGTTCACAAACTATTTTCTTATTGATGTATAAAGTCCAAAGCTGACTGCGGCCTTTCAATGGGGTCATAGAGGGACCTATGGAAGCAGCCAAGTGAGAGATGAAACACACATGGGGGAAAATTCCATTGTTCAACCGTACAAATCCAGGAAATGGGTACATTTATTAGATTAGTTGTTCCTTACTAAGAAGGTTTCAGTCGATAGCTAGAATAGAGGGAAATCCTCTTACCTGCTCCCCCCACCAGTTTTTTGAGCACCAGAGGCCACACTGTGAACACCGGAAGGTTAGGATAGGACCACAAATGTGTACACTGAGCAAAAAGAGGCACGGACTTATTGCCTAAATGTCAATTCCTGGGGAACTGGCAAAGCCAAACACTAGGTCACTATAATTCAGGGCCAGCAAAGGAACTTAACTCAGCGCTAGAGAAGAGGCTGTGAGACTCAAAGAGGTTTCATTGTTGTTGTTTTTTTAATTTAATTAATTTAATTCACATTAGTTATCATAACAGTGTAGAGTTGGTTTCAAGGGGTTTCATTCATACAGAAGGCAGATTCTTAAAAACTTGGATGTCCCCTGAGACTGGGAGGCCTCTGTTATTCCACCTGATTGTAGACACAGAAAGGGGCACAGCAGGTAAAAGCAGGGACAAAGACCCAAAGAGGATTCCATTTGTGACCTCAGAAGCAAGTAGGCTAAGAACAGGGCGCCAGCCTATAAACACTATGGAAATCTCTCCATGCCTGTGTCTGTAGAGCAACAAAGTGGGGAGGGGGCAGGAGGGGTCTACGGAGACAGCCCTATGCTGCTGCCACCCAGCTGAGGGCAAGAAAGGCCCCATGTGACAAAGCAGGTGTCAGCAGCGACAGGAGAAGGACACTGGGTGACTGAGATGTGTGACAGGGAGAGAAAGCAAAGGATGCTGGGAGCCAGACAGAGCCTAAAAGAGAATCCCTGTGAGGCATCTGCGTGGAGTTCATCACTAAGACAGCTGTATCGTCATTCCACCAACCCTGCTTCTTTCCTGTCACGGGATCTTTTCAGTCTCTAAAGAAAACGCTGCTAGTCATGCTTTTAAACATATTTTTTACATGAAATTCCACCCTTTTCACGACCTCCGCTCCATCCCTAGCTCACCCACTACGAACTACCACTATTCCTTCATCTCAGAATAGCGCTTGGCAACCGCCCTCCGTCTGTGTTAGCCCTTAAATTCTCCCTCCTACTGCAGCTTCTGATCTTGAATGACCCAATTCTAGGGACACTGGGCCCCAAAAGATCCTTAGGGATGCACCTGGGAGATGTGGCACGTAACGCTCTAAGGAAGACAGACGAATGAAGGACATGAGGAGGAACAGGTGCCTGGCCGGGTCACTGTACCGGCCGTCCCCATCCCGGTGCCATACCTGTCGGACACAGGTATTTCTCCAGTGCAAACAGGACGGGGTTGCCGCCGCTCACGTACACAGTCACGGCATCCCCTCTGTGAGCATACAGTTTCACAATGTTGAGCTCCTCCTTTCCAGGTACCAACACGGACACCTGACCTGCTCCTAGAGCCGGGAAAGCAGCCGTCACATCAGCCCGAAGCTTTCTCCTGCAGAAAGCAAACCAATACGTGGGATGAATCGTGCCCGGGGGCTTGTTGAGAAATGCAATGGATTCAGAAGGACTTGCTATGAAAATCACAAGGGCCAAGGAAAATCTGGTTTATGAGGCCCTGCTCTCATACACTCTTCCAAAACCTCCAATTCTCTTTCTCATCCAATGTCTCCTCTATTTTCACATATTCCTGGGGGCAAGCCTTTCCACTTTACAAAGAAAGAGGAAAACTGGGATCCAGGGAGTAACCAAGTTAGTCTGACTTTGGAAATTCAGCCCTGCCTTCCTAACTCCATTCCCAGCCATTTTCTCATATGATTGGAAAATCTGTCTATACCGGGGCACCAAGACTGACAACTATAGAACACTAGGTCCAAAGTTTGCAACGTACTATTCTGTATTTGCGACACTGCCTGACCAACACGGTTCTCCTTACAACATGTCCCCTCTCTCTCACCTCTCCTTCCATCTGTCTCTCCTGCCAGAAGTAATCACTTGACACTTTTTCTCTTATCGTTTTAGTTCTCGGCTCCCCATGTGATTTCTCCTAAGGGACTCTAAGCCCTTGGGAGACTGGGATCCTGTATTTCTCTCTTTCTTTGTTCTTTTTTGATCACCCCCTACAATACCTTATATAGACCGCAGTCAGTAAGCGCTGATTGAATTACGGTTTCCTTTCAACGAACTACAATGTCCAAAAGCTAGTCTGGGAGATAAATCAGGCTTTCTCTCCATCTTCACCCACAAACCGTGTCTATTCCACCCTGGCTTCTGAGGTCCCTTCTCGGGCTGGACCCCTCGGCCTCCACCCCAGGTCGGCTGACCTCGCCCAGAGAGAGCTGTGGGCCAGCCGGGAGTGGGAAAGGCCGGGGGCCCTGGTGGGCGGTCAGGCCCCTTCTCTCCCTCACCTGTCCGACCCCTTGATGGCCGTGTTGGACTTGACCCGAAAAGCCTTGGCAAACATGTCCGATGGCGTGGCGTGGCGTGGGGAAGACCAGCAGAGCACAGAAGCCAGTGGCTGTCAGGAACGCGAGGACGCGGCACCGTCCCCACTCGCAGCGCTAGGGGCAGCCATGCTGAGGCCCGGTTGGGAAAGACGCCCGGCTGGAAACCCTGGCCGCGCAGCTACGCGGCCGCCCCTAGTGAGAAGACCCGGAACTGAAGCAGGGAGGGCGGGTCCGCCTCACGCCCGGCCCTGCGCCTGCGCCTGCGCCAGGGGCTGGCTGCTTCAAGCCTCCAGGGACCTTGTGGTGGGTGCGCAGGATGTTTGTTTCCGCTCAGTAGGGTTTTGGGCATCTTGAGTTCCCTTATAGTCGATTCAGCGCCACCAAATTAAATGACCATTGTGTTTTATTCGTTTTTCAGCCCTCTCGAATGGTTTGCTTAGGGGTTTTGTTAAAGTCTTTCCATATTATTGCGCAGAAGTCTCCAGATTTTCTACTGTTTTGTTTGTTTTTGTTTTTGTGTTTAATTTACATGGGGTAATAATAGTAACGGGGAGTCCGCCATGGTCCCAAATTTGTCTCTCCTGTTATGAGTAAAAAGACTACAAAGGATCTTCAAATCGATTAAAAAATATTTTTGACCACCTGTAGGTACTTTTGCTAACCGTTAATGCATTTTGTGTTCAGATGTTATTTTGAAAGAGGAGGTGTTTTAAAAACTAATTAAATAAACTCCTGTTGCCTGTATAAAAAAAGAGTCTGTGACCCAGATTAGGATCAGGTTATGGTTTGGCTTCTCCCTAGCAGTGTGATCATGGGCCAACGGCTTATTCTTTCTAAAACTCTTGCATTCTCTGAAGGACGCGGATGTAGTACCTATATCCTAGGGTTTCTGTAAGAAGCGATTGAAGTAATGTGTGATGTTATACAGTGTTTGGAAATTTCCAGTCACATTTTTCAAAGGTCTCCACAGGTGTGAAATTTTGGGTTTCCCTGAGAAGGATCAGCTGTGTGCCCTGGAGGCAAGGATTTAAGGCCCTGCCATCTTGGCTCCTACTAAATTAAAATTTGCATGTAAAGGTTAAGGGCAGAGTATCCATCAAGAAAAAAAAATACAAATTGCTTCTTCCTTTACACAGTTACACAAAGGAGGTTTCCACTCTGGCTGTCCAAAGATTAGGTTTTCCAGTGTCTGCACACCACAGGATTCTTAGAAGGGCCCCTAATGTGGTCTCCAGGCCAGGCCCAAAATAGGCTCCTCCTACACTTCTGACCTATTAGGCCTTTATTTTTCTTTTTAATAGTTTATTGTCTAGTTGGTTTCCATACAACACCCAGTGCTCATCACCACATGTACCCTCCTCCATGCCCAGCAAGCAGCCCTCAGTTTGTTCTCTGTATTCAAGAGTTTCTCATGGTTTGCCTCCCTTCCTCTGCCCCACTATTTTTCCCCTTCTTTCCCCCCATGGTCCTCGTTAAATTCCTTCTAATACTTCTATACATGCAAACATATGGTAGCTGTCCTTCTCTGCCTGATTTATTTCACTCAGCATAACATGCTCAAGTTCCATCCATGTTGCTACACATGGACACGTTTCATTTTTTCTCATTGCCATGCAGTATTCTGAAGCATCCCAGCTACAAGGTCAAAGTTAGAGGAGGACAGTGCCAGAGAGCCTTCTTTGTTCAGGTCCCCAAGGCAGCCACACCAGGGGATGTGTGATGGATGTGTGATGCCAGGCTGCGCTGTTGACCAGTGTCTCCTGCAGCCCAGCTACTGAGGCAGCCTGTGTGCAGGGAGCTGAGGAAGGCTTCAAGGGGTATTAGAATCATAAATAAGAAAACAGCAAGATACAGATAAATGTGTAAAATATCTTCTCTTCTAGATATTAAAGGAGATTAATAAATACTGAAAGGATGTCAGAAACTAAGAAAAATATAACTTTATAACAAAGGAAATAGATAAATGGTGGAAAAAGAGTACTCTTCATAGACCCTTGTCATATTACTTTGACTTTTGAAACATGTAGTTGTTTTTCATATTTAAAAAGTTTAGCTCAATAGAGGAAGAAGCATAATCTAAAATTAAAACAAAATATAAATGAAAATCACTGTAAAACTCTATTAAGTTGAAAGGGGGGCAATCAGAGATCAGGATTTTCAAGTCATTTCAGAAGAGAGTACTTACACTCAGAGTTTAACATCCTGGGACAAAATAAATGCAAAGGCACTGTTACCTTAATTTGATAGTTTACCTGCTAGTAGTAATTTTTGCATTATGCTTTTTATATTATTTTTGCAAATATTGATATATAAGAATATGTGAGTAAAGAGAAAAAGAAAATGTTTTTAACCCTGTATCATTAAACTTGAATTCTAATATACAATAGGAGCAAGTAAATATTAAATTTCATATCTGTTTCAGTTTTCTGACAAGCAAAAAATATTTAAAGACATTTAACAGTCATGAGCATTCCTATTTAGTACCAATGGCATGTTACTTGGGTTCTAAACACTGTTTCCCAGTCAAAATAATCAGGGGCACCTGGGTGGCCAGTTCATTAAGGATCTGACTTCGGCTCAGGTCATGATCTGTTGGTTCACAAGACAGCTTCACATTCTGTGTCTCCCTCTCTCTTTGCCCACCCCCCACTCACGCCCCCCCCCAAATAAATAAACATAAAAAAAGAATCAGACATTTTTGGAAATGCGTATGCTTACAGGTTCTGGGCAGGGAAGTATACAGTGAGCCTGGAACACCACGTTGTGCTAAAAAGAAAAAAAAAAGCTCAAAGAATAATGGGATACAACAATAAAAATCAGGAGCTGGTTTCAAGGGGCTTTCACTAGCCACTTTTGGGATAATTTGAGCTTCAAGAATAATGACTATTTAATTGTGACAATTGAATAAAAATTAATGAATCCATGATGATACAACATTTATTATTTTCTTAGTTTGTAATTTTTTTTTCAGAGAGAGAATTTGATGGGTGGAAGAGGGGCAAAGGGAGAGAGAGAGAGGAGGGGGAGAGAGAGAGAGCGAGAGAGAGAGAGCGAGAGAGAGAGAGAGAGAGAGAGAGAGAGAATCGTAAGCAGGTTCCACACTCAGCATAGAAGATAAGCTGGAGCCCAGGACTCAATACCGTAACCCTGGGATCATGACATGAGTCGAAAGTTATTCAGATACTCAACCAACTGAGCTATCCAGGTTCCCCAATGATACAACATTTTAAGAGAAAGAAAGAAAGATCTCTAAGGCTATCAGAAGGTCACTATCATCAAGTCCTTATTTCAAAAATGGGAAATTAAAGAGTAAAAATATTTACCATAACTTTTTAGGTAAAAGTATTAAAGAATTGGCAAACTAACACTCATCTTGACATGAGAATGATAATAAGTACAGAAAAATATTGGAATTAATCTTAAAAGTTGCTATTTTGCAGCCAAAAATGAAAATAATTGGTTATAGGCCATATTGGTTATAGGTCAAGTGTCAGTTATAGATTCCACAAGCATTGGGTGAAAAGTTCTGGAGAAATAGTACATACATCAATATTAACAACAAAGATAACTTGTCCATTGAAATAATATTCCTTTAATGTGAGAAAACTGACTGTCACTTGTGATTCAGATTTAGATAAATTGGCTGCATTAGAGACAGCCGGGTTTCTCATTCTGAGAATGCCACTTGCTATGATAAAAATGATGTAAGAATAGATCACCTTAAAAGATTTTTACCTTAATTATATCTTTATTTTCATCTTAAATATTTCATGTTTTGTAGAAGTTAAAAATGTTTTCGATCAACTGATTTTTTTAACATTATTATTATTATTTTTTTAATGTTTTATTTATTTCTAGGAGAGAGAGAGAGACAGCGTGAACAGGGGAAGGTCAGAGAGAGAGGGAGTCACAGACTGAAACAGGCTCCAGGCTCTGAGCTGGCAGTCAGCAAAGAGCCCAACACGGGGCTCGAACCCAGGAACTGCGAGATCATGACCTAAGCGAAAGTCTGACGCTTAACTGACTAGGCCACCCAAGCGCCCCGCGGTCAACTGATTTTAACTATTTATGTTGTTTGAAATGTAGGAGCTTAAAAATTGCATTGCAGACTCTTGTGCTTGAATGTTTCCAATCCATCTATAGCAACGAAATCATGAAAATGTCATTAGATTTGAAGATCATTACCAAAGAGGTCCTCAACATATATTGTCTTATTTTAAAATAAAATATTCTTGTGGTTCAAAGGGAATGTATATTAATATAGATAAAAATGGAGAATGCAGGTAAATATTAAGAAGTTAAACACCAGCTCTTACCCCTAGTTTTTCTAAATTCTCATGTCAATTTTTTATTGTGCTTCCTGACAATCTTTGTTCTATAACCATTTATTCAGTGTTCAAAGCACTGTGTTTGTGTGTGTGTGTGTGTGTGTGTGTGTGTGTGTGTGTGTTTATACTTGACATCAGATTTTTGGGGTCACTTTTCATGTTATGATAGTTATGCACCCAGTTAGATTCTAATATATTTTTAGGATTTCTTTGAATTTTTATGTGTGCTAGAGAGTTATCTTGTAGGAGATCATGTATTTCATGATCTTTTTGGCTTGTCTATCTATTGCTAGGTAAGCAAAAGTAAGTAATAACTACTTACATTTTCCTACTACAATAGGTATGAAACAGTTCAGTTTTGATATGTTTCCAAAATGCAATTATTTTGAAGATGGAAAATTCTTTCTCCCATTTCCTCTGAAATGGACAGTCTGAGGAAGGCTCAGAAGTTATGGAGGAAGATTTAAGGAAGGCAGGAGAAAGATGGGTAGGAGGTGGTACTGAAATGACTGAATCTAGTCTTCTCATAGATATTTTAAGAATAGGACACAAAGCATTTTGGTTTGGCAAGTTTTAATAAGGTGCTTTTTAGAAGTCGCTCAGATTATAATTGCATCATCCATATAATATTTAACACAAATTCTACTAAAGATATAAATGAATTAAACAGCAATTGACAAAATAAACAGAATTATATCAATCATGAAAATTTTTGAATAAATGTACATATTTTAACTCGAGGACTGCATCTTAACCATTCTTTCATCCACAAACAGGATAGTCCAGTTTCCCGTCCCAACAGATTGCTTGGGATGTTTGTTGTGATGTCTGCATACGATATCCTCTCATACATTCAAAGTGCACAGTTTCCCTTGTTTGGAAATATCGTTTATTCTTAGAAGGCCCTCTTAATTTTAAGTTATGTTTTTTCATGTTATCTTCTGATATTATACATACATCTGAAGGTTAAAAAAAAAGTGAACATAAGCATTAAGCAGTAAACAAATATTTTCCACAAGATTTCAGACTTCCAAGTAGAATCTTCTACACTGGTCCAGAGCTTTATTTTCAAAACCTTTTCCAAACCAATTCATTGAAAATCCATCACGGAAACATAAATCATTTTAAATGATTAATGATGTAAAATTGAGGCACTATGTTTAAAATATGATAATTAGGAGTGCCTGGGTGGCTCAGTTGGTTAAGTGACCCACTTCAGCTCAGGTCGTGATCTCACAGTTTGTGAGTTCAAGCCCCATGGGCTCTGTGCTAACAGCTCAGGCCTGGAGCCCCTCCCCTGCTCACACACTGTGTCTCTGTTTCAAAAACAAGTAAGCATTAAAAAAATTTAAAGTATGATAGTTAAATGTCAAAATGAAAGATTCATCATTTTGAATTCATCATTTCATCATTAAAGAATATTGTGTTGCTGTTGCTGCTTGAACAAGAGTTTTTTCAAACTTTATTTCTTCACATATTAATATTTGGTAGTCACACATTTGACAGAATAGCTGTTGGTTAATCTGTGAAAATTCTATTAAAAACAGCAAAACATCTTTCTCATTATACTGATTTCCCCAGGATCCATGTGAATATTAAAATATTTACCCAGGCACTTTGGTGGTGTGGACCACTGCCCATAGCTGCATGTTATGATCCTGTTTCCCTCAAGCACATACAAGGACTGGCACTGGTACTCAACTGACGATCCTGGGTCATATTCCGATTTGGGGAATGTGGTCATGTCTCCATTTTTAATACTCGGAGCGGGCCCACATTTTTCCTTAGGGTCTAAAAAGAATATTATTTTATTTATTGAAAGTCCATAAAAAACAGATTAAAGTAAAGTAAATAGAAATATAGCACAATATACAATACCAAGACTTGTGATCTCTGCTGACAGAAATGATTCATTGACAACATTCTAATCACTTAAACTGACAGTAACATTTTAAAGCCCTTTTGTCTCACATGGAAATACACATAAAGTATTAACAAATATGTCTGCTTTGCAGTATTCTGGTATTAAAGAAATATTTTTCCCACTGAATAAATGCCAGACGGAGGGATAGCTAATATACCGAAAGAAATCTTCTCATTAGTTACGACATACTGCGGTGTCTATTGGATCGTTGTGTATTGATTTGCATCATTATTACAAAGGAAACTAAGCTGCTTTAATTAAGTCAAAGAATTATAAATTTGTGTAATGTGAAAGGGAATCGCTGGCCTCCTATTCTGGACATGATGAGGTAGAAACATTTCTGCTTATCCCGTTGCTATGTAAAAGTAAAAACCCTGAATATATTATTAAAAAAACAACATAAGAGATTGTGAAAGGTGCAGAGTAGATATCAATCTGATCAGAGACCTTCAGTGACTTTCGGTTTTACTTTCTATGGATCCTGGACTGAGCACTGAAGAAGACTGGAACCCAGAAATGATATCAAGTTCAAGAAAAAAAAAAAAAGTTCCAAGAGTTGCCTGATCTCTTTAGCCAAAAGCCCAGGAAAGGACTTTTCTAACAAGACAGAAATATTTTTTTCCAGTACTTGAATAACCAAGAAAACATGATAAAGAAACCTCGACCAGTCTTCCTGCTGTGTTGCTCAGAGATCAACAGTGACCATCAGAGGCCGAGTGAGGAGCCCAGACTTCTATCCACACTCAGGGAACAAGACACCTCTCCACTTTCCATGGTGTCAGTGGAGGCCGAGTGGGAAGCCTGGACTTGCACTGAGTCTGGCAGTAATGGAGGCCTGATAAATAAGAGATGTCAATAAAATCCAGAGCCTTAAAACAGAATATTCCAGATGTCCAAAGTACAACTGAAAATCACTCATTATAGGGGCACTTGAGTGGTCAGTGGGTTGAGCATCCAACTCTTGATTTCAACTCAGGTCATGATCTCATGGTTCGTGAATTTGAGCCCTGTGTTAGGCTCTGTGCTGGCAGAGAGGAGCCTGCTTGGGACTCTGCCCCTCCCCTGCTCACAAGCTGGCATGAGTGCTCACACTCTTACAATACATAAAACTTTACAAAAAGAGAAAAAAATCACTCATTGTATCAAAGACCAGGAAAATCCACCCCCAAAAACCAACAACACAGGAAAATATATGTGCCAGGAAAAACAAATGGCTAGAATATCTCCTTTGTTGGCTCCTCGTATTCCCTAAACTCTGAATACTGGAGCGTTTTATGACCAAGTTCTCAGACATTTTCTTCTCTATACACTAATTCCCAGGTTGAGCTCAGCCAGTAACATTCCTTGAAATAGAATCCACCTGCTGAAGAAGCCTAAATTTGTATCTCATTCTGTGATCATGCCCCAGCTGCCGATTCCATGTCTCCAGGTGGAATTTCATAGGGCTGTCAAATGTCCTCAATGTATTTTTTTTTCTTAGTTATTCACTTTGAAAGACAGAGAGACCAGAGTGGGGGGGGGCGGGGTCAGAGGGGTGGAGAGGGAGGAGGGGCAGGGAGAGAGGGAGACAGGATCTAAAGCAAGGTCCAAAGCAGGCTGAGCGGTCAGCACAGAGCCCGCCGTGGGGTTCGAACTCCCGGACCGCGAGATCATGACCTGAGCCAAAGTTGGACATTCAACCAACCGAGCCACCCGTGTGGACCTTCAACGTATCTTTAATACATTTATTCCTCAGGAAATAACTAAGTGACTTAATACTTAAGATAGAGAATTTTCCATGCTGTCCGAATCTGGTCAAATCTTTCATAAAATGAATATATCATATCACTTATGCACCCCACAAAAAGAAAAATTGGATTCTAAGCACCATCATTTTATTTGAGATTAAAAACTCATTCCATAATAACCACTTCATTATATATTTATATTAACATATTTAGTCCCTAAAACATCCTTTTAAATTTCAAGGGAAATAAGATACTCTACCTAGGCACTGAGGTGGTTGTGTCCAGTTTCCATTTGAACATGTCACGTCTTGGTCTCCAACCAGGTAAAGAGGTTTAATGCATTTGTAACGTGCCCTCTGACCAGGTCGATACCTAGGCATCTCATTTAGTATAATAGCATTTTCCACTCGGGGTGGATTCACACAGGAAAGATCTGAATAGAAAGGGAATAAAAGTAGCATCTCTAACATAATGATCATTTTGAGCAGTAAATCAACCAATGGAATTCCAAATATATCTCTAAGAGGATTTTAAGTCAACAGTTAATCTGTCATGAAAGACTACTAATTTTAAGAAATTTACATATAAGACTGAAGAAAAGGGGATAAAGCAATACAATTTATTTTATAAGATTTAAGCTTCCATGAAAATGAGAGTTTCTCTGGACATTTCCCTTCTAGTTCAATCAAATCACTATTTCAAATTATATATTTCCAAAATGCATTTATAAACCACTAGAAAATCATAAGAAAAAGATTATTTGACATTAGATTTTGGCTTGTAATTATCCTGTTTATGAATGTAATTTTAGACCCTTAGATAAATAAACACAATAGCCACTTCCTTAGAGAATAAATGAAGAATTAACAAGCTTTGAAGAATACCATAGCTGAAGGAAGAAGATGGCTAACTGAGGGTCCAAACAGGAGATGAGTGGCAAAATAACAGAAAAATAAATGTATTATTGATAAAAACAGTCTTCAATTATTTTTTTTTTTTGCAAATGCTTAAGGATATTTCACGCATAATGTATAAGTCACCAGTGAGTTTCAGGTGGATGTAAAATGTAATAGGCTATAGCTATGGCTCCTAAACTAGAGTGTACATTGAATCCCTTGTGAATTGTTAAGACACTTTCAGGGTTGCATCCCCAGAGTTCTTGCCACCACAGGTCTGAGGGAGCCTGTGAATTTACATTTGCATGTCTAACAATTTCCCGGAAGATGCTGACGCTGCTATTCCAGAGACCAAATTTTGAAACTACTGGGCTTTAAGATTAGCCACTGAGTACACAATTTCATCCCTCTATGTTAAAGCATACACCTTCTTTGACCTAGTCTAGAATAATCATCTATGTCCATTTTGCAAGTGTTGTTAGAAAGAATTCTATATTGTATTACTTAAGACATTTTGGAAAATGGATTTAAAAATATCATTGAAGTACCTCTGCATATTGGCTTTCCTATCCATTGGCTGTCAATACACTGTACAGTATTTGGTCCATCCAAAACGTAATCACGTGGACATTCGTAAGCAACTTTTTCTCCTGACCTATATACTTCTTTCTGCTGGCCTTTAGGTGTGGCATTACCAAAGTCGGGTAAGCTAAAACAATCCGTGTCTGAAAGAAAAAGAATATGTACTTGTTTGGTAAATATTTTAAAAAACATAATGACTAATAACTATAATGTAGAATAATAGGCACCCATCAAACCAATGAATACCGGGCAAAATTTTTCTTATACCTTGAACAAATATATTAGAAGTCTTGCTTAATTACATTGAATAGTCCTATGTTTATCAAAGTATAACATGCAGATGATGACATCATAAGCCTGAAGAGTATGGTTATATGTAATGCTGGAGATCACACATCTTATATTCAAATTCTTTTCTGCCCACACAAGCCATCTACATTATTTGTGTAGAGGTATTTTTTTTGCTTCTGTGAAAATCTGTTACCTTTGTGCATGTCGAATACCTCGGAAAACTATATACTTACAAGGAGATAACTGAGGAACTAACAGTCCATTGAATACAGATGAGATCGATGAGCAGGGAGCAGCTGTGATACAGGAACAGAGATGGGGAGTCTGAGGATGTGTATCACAGGAGGTCTCATGTGCACACAAAGTGACATGAAAGTGAAATAATTTGGCTCATGAGGTCACACTTTTATTATTACTACAGCTACTGATTCTCTACTAGAATCTACAGCTTTCCAGAGATACTTTGTTAAATCCTAGACTTACTGCCTAGTTTCCTATTTGTACTATTTATGCTCTGAATTAAGGATCAACCTAAGAGTAAAATTAAATACACTATACTTTTGCATTCTGGTAGGTGGGACCATTTTCCTCCTAAACATTGTATAAGTGCAGGTCCATTAACCATAAAACCTTCTGTGCATTTGTATGTTACTTCTTCTCCATATTGGTAACTGTCTGATATTGGTGATGGAATCCCATGTGGAATCAAATGTGGTGGTCCACAAGGAAGTCCTAAGAAAAAGAAAGAGAGAAAGAAAGACTGACTCCATGTTTTGCAAAATCTGAAATTTAATTTTATGTACTGGTTGCCATATTTGGCAGTTTTATTTGAAAAAAAATGATAACGCATGATCTGCACCCATACCACAGAGAAAGTGTACAAATTCTCCCTAAAACCGTCATTCCGAAGTGTATCAGCACAACTTGAGCAGCAACTTGAAAATAAACATGTCAATACATTATCGGGCATTGCAACTTATTTCTAGATATGTTTCCTGAGGCAAGGGAAACAAAAGCAAAAATAAACTATTGGGACTACATCAAAATAAAATGCTTTACACAGTGAAGGGAACAATCAACAAAACTAAAAGGCAACCTACAGAAAGGGAGAAGATATTTGCAAATGACATATCTGATAAAGGCTAGTGATGAATATATATAAAGACATTATAAAACTCAACACCCAAAAAACTTATAATCCAATTAAAAATTGACAGAAGACATGAACACAGACATATCCAAAGAAGACATAGAGACAGCGTAGAGACGCATGAAGAAATGTTCAACATCACTGATCATCAGGGAAATGCAATTCTACACTGCAATGAGCTCTCACCTCATACATGTCAGGCTAAAATCAACACACAAGAAACACCAAGTGTTGGCCAGGATGTGATGAAGTGAAAACCCTTTTTCACTGTTGGTGTGGGAATGCAAACTGGTGTAGCCACTCATGAAAAAAGAATGGAGATTCATCAAAGAGTTAAACCATTGAACTAGATCCAGCGATTGTATTACTAGATATTCACTGAAAGAATACGAAAATACTACTTCAATGGGATACCTGTACCTTGATGTTTATAGCAGCATTATTTACAATAGCTGAGACATGGAAATAGCCCAAGTGTCCATCGGTAGATGAACGGATAAAGAAGAGGTAGTATATATATATACAATGGAATATTATTCAGCCATAAAAAGAATGAAATCTTGTCATTTGCAATGATACGGATGGAGCTAGAGAGGATATTGCTAAGTATCGCTTCTCGGCCTTTTGGCTGAGATCAAGTGGAGAGAATGATGCTAAGTGAAATAAGTCAGAAAAGACAAATAACATGATCACCCACACTCATATGTGGAAGGTAAGAAACAAAACATATGAGCAAAGGGGGTAAAAAGAGAGAGAGAGGAAAACCAAGAAACACTCTTAATTATAGTTAACAATGTGGTTACCAGAAGGGAGGTGGGTGGCAGGATGGGTTTAATAGGTGATGGGGATTCAGGAGAGCACGTGCTTCGAGCACCAGGTGTTGTATGGAAGTATTGAATCACCATATTCTACGTGTGAAACTAATATTACACTGCATGTTAGCTAATTGGAATTTAAACTAAAACTTAGATAATGAAAATAAAATAATAAAATAATAAAAATTTCAATATACTTATGTAGAGACAATCAGTGTTTCTCAAAACAATAGTGAATAATAAAAAGAAGAGCACTGAGAATTAATCATCTTAGGTACCATATATTGTAAGAACTCAGAAATGACATTATAGGGAAAACAAGACAAATTTTTACAATAAATCAATGCATAGCAAAGAGTACAAGTTGTATAATTGGGAAAGGAATATGAATAGGTAGGTTTAATTGCACTACACATCTAGTTTTCATTAAACAACTGCAAAATTCAAAGTGAGTCTGTAATGAATCAATGAAATTAACAAAAAGAGGATAGTACATAAATATATAAATGATTTTAGATATTTATCTATAAATGAGTTTATATAGTTAGAAACCTAAAGGATTCTTTCTCATGACTTTGATGACAACTGATTATGTTTAATGGATTCTATCAAACATAGAATTGTGGTTTGCATACTGTCCTCACCTACACACCGAGGTGGAGAACTCCATTTTCCCATGTGGCACGTTATCTCATCTTTTCCAGATATCCGGAAACCATCCTCACAAGCGTAATTTAATTTGGTGCCATGTGCATAAAGCTCAGGTTTCAATGTTTTGTCCATTTCTTCTGAAAATTTAGATGATTTGATGGTTCCATGTTCTAGCTGAGGTGGTTGAGAACATGGGTTTTTTTCTGAATAGAGGCCAGAGATCAAAAAGGCAAGTTTGGATACAACGTTTAAATTTTAAAAAATGCAATCAAATACTTGTTGAGACTTTAAAATAAGGATAATTCAAACAAATTAAATTATGAAAAACTTAAAAACACTTGACACTTGCAAGCCTATATGTCTCCAGCAAATCTACGCTAGTATCTGCTTGTTCTATGCCCCTTCATTCTTGTCCTGTTCATCATGAGGAGTGAAATAGGCATAAACAGAAATTTTCTATGGTATTCGCACCAGTAACCGAAAGTATTTGTCTGTTCATTTCCCACTAGAAGTGAAAGAATACTGAGTGATTTGTATACTTAGAATGCAATTTACTGTTTCAAGATAAAGTGAAATAGATATAGAGAAAGGTCCTTATCTTGTTCATCTACACAAAGCTCAGTGGAGTATTCACCTCATTTGAAAGAATGTTATAAAGCATGTGATGCATTACTGACCAACACAGTGTGGTATCGACTGCCATCTTCCATCTTTGCACATGATTTCGTCTGCATCCTGAATTACATAATTGTCTTGACAGATAACAGATACCTTTTCTCCATCCCAAAAATTTATTGTCGTTGTCATATTGTGAGCATTGGGAATCTGAGGTGGAGGTGGGCATGACTTCATTTGTATTTCTAGAAATATTAAAATTAGGTTTCTTGATTAAGATCAGAAGTTGAAAATACTAAAAAGAAAACTAAACAGAAAATCCGATAATAATGTGTCATAAATGATCAAGTAATAATGTTATGTTTAAATATGTTATAGTCTTTAGCTTGTAGAGAACTTTAATATATCATACGTTGTTTATATTCTCATGGACTTAATGGTAGTATCTTCATTTTATTCCTTCTGTGATAAATCTTGCATCATTTATGTAAAACTTATTTTAATGATTTCTAACCATTGCTATGTACTAACTGAATTTTCTACTCAGTAACAGGCACAAAATAAATACTGACATTTTACAGCTATCCATAACCAAATGTATTGTGATTGGATTAAAACCTTTACAAGATGTGGAATGGAAAATAATTAGCCACAGTAAGAATTGCATGTAGTAATGATCAATTATTTGATACAGTTTTCTGGCCAAGATATGAATTAGATATGGTCACTAGTGATTTATAGTGTGTTGTTTAAAGTTCAAAACTCTCTGGAGAGACTGTTTACTAGCTTGCTGACACTGTTTAGACATATATAGATTGATGAAATGCACCTTGTTTAATGGATTAACCTGACTTTAGTTCTATGACCGCAAGGTATACAAAATTTCTTTGCAAACTTGAGTTTGAGCTCCCATAAAGCTGAGATACCTCACATGTATTGTGGTGGTTCATAATCTGAAGACAAAGCATATCCTGTTCAGCTGAGGGAAGATTCTGGATGACTATACCTGGAGGTTTTTTGACCTCTCTATGATACCTTGATTTTGCTTTCTCCTGCGATGCGTTTATTTGACTAAAGACCTTATTTGAGTGTACACCGGGAAATCTTGTGAGTCCAAAAATTATCTGAGATTTTGTATTCAATTTAGAGAAATAGTTGACTGAATATAATTTGTTCATGCTGAATAATATTGTCACATTTTCTATTTNCAATGTATTGTGATTGGATTAAAACCTTTACAAGATGTGGAATGGAAAATAATTAGCCACAGTAAGAATTGCATGTAGTAATGATCAATTATTTGATACAGTTTTCTGGCCAAGATATGAATTAGATATGGTCACTAGTGATTTATAGTGTGTTGTTTAAAGTTCAAAACTCTCTGGAGAGACTGTTTACTAGCTTGCTGACACTGTTTAGACATATATAGATTGATGAAATGCACCTTGTTTAATGGATTAACCTGACTTTAGTTCTATGACCGCAAGGTATACAAAATTTCTTTGCAAACTTGAGTTTGAGCTCCCATAAAGCTGAGATACCTCACATGTATTGTGGTGGTTCATAATCTGAAGACAAAGCATATCCTGTTCAGCTGAGGGAAGATTCTGGATGACTATACCTGGAGGTTTTTTGACCTCTCTATGATACCTTGATTTTGCTTTCTCCTGCGATGCGTTTATTTGACTAAAGACCTTATGTGAGTGTACACTGGGAAATCTTTGTGAGTCCTTTCAATTATCTGGTATTTTGTGTTCAATTCAGAGAAATAGTTGACTGAATATAATTTGTTCATGCTGAATAATATTGTCACATTTTCTATTTTTTTTTATTTAAAAATGTCTTTAAAATTTATTAATTTAGAGAGAGAGAGAGACAGAGTGAAAGCAGGGAAGGGGCAGAGAGAAAGGAAGACACAGAATCCCAAGCTGCCTCAAGGCTCAGAGCTATGAGCTGTCAGCACAGAGCCCAACGCAGGGCTCAAACTGAGATCATGACCTGGGTCAAAGTCAGGCAATAAACCGACTGAGCCACCCAGGTGCCCTGTCATAGTTTCTCCTTCTATCTTTAGATAGATGTAGGAGTATTTTATATTCAATCAAAAGGGTTTTTTTTTCTTATTTCTGTTTTAAATATCTTGGCATATTTTTTCAATATATCCTCAAGGATTTACTTTCTTCTATATTTGCTGTGTAACCATTTTTGTCCATATAATCTTAATTAGTACCTCATTTTGATATATTTTGCCAGAGGCTGGTCTGGCAACTAAATCTCCCTAAAGGCAGAATTATTATTCTGCAAATCCTCTGTTTACGCTTTTTTAAAAGCTTGGTTTTAGTTTTTCCATTTTATTTTATTCCTTGTATTTTATTTTATTTTTATATTTTAAAAATTATTTTGTATTTTTTTGCAGCTCTTCGTATAACAATCATAACACAAACAAGTTGATAAAAGAGAATAAAGTTATTTAGGAAAAAATAAATATTTGGAAATTACGCAACAAAATTTTCAATGACGGGTCCAAGAAGAAAGGCCCAAGGAAACATTAGGAAACATTTCATAGAATTCAATGAAAATGAAATGTATATAAAATTTTGACACTGCTTTAGAGGGAAAGGAAGTTAATCCTTAAAAAGTAAGATGGTATAAATCCAAGTTTTAGTTTTCTACCTGAAGAAATAAAAAAAGTAAAATTAAAATCAAAGTAATTAGAAAGAAAACAGTTAATCCCACAGAAGAGAGAAAATAGAGAAAGACAAATAGAAAAAACAGTGGATGTTAATAAGGCTAAAAAATAGAAGAGAGAGTAAGTGGAGAAAATCGAGTGTTAAAATTGGTTATGTGGAAATGTTAATGAAATTGAAGTAAAAATTCCAGGAAGAATAATCAATATAAAAGATAGAAGTATCAATATTAAGAACAAAAGAAGTAATATCAGCAAAAAACTATATAATTAAAAGAAAATAGAATATGCAGGGAAATTTAGCAATAATT